AAAAAAAAAAAAAGATTAAGAATCCATATATTTTGTTGTCTACACATGCAATAGTATTGGACTCCAGAATTACATGGAAATCTGTTTTTCCATTGCTTATGGACAATCTAGCTCCAGGTCTCGAGGCCATCCGAATTCCTCCAAGAATGCTAATACAACACCATTCGACCAGCCAAATCCCGTCTGTACAGACATGTAAAGAAGCCGATGAAATAAAGAGCAATGATTTAAGTCTAGACGTGAAAATAATATGCAATCTGAAACTAAAGTTCTAATCCTACTCTCAGAAGCAAAAATAATCAGAAGCACAACCAGAAAACAAGCAAAGCACAGATGTTTATCAAGATTCACTCTCAATATGAGATATACATCAACTTGCTGTTGTAGGTTTTCATTATAAAATGGAGAAGAAGAATACAAATTGTTCCTCACACCTCTCTTGCACACACTAAAATGGCCCCCTAAAAGCTTTTATTATGAATATTGGACTCGCAGTTTAGGGATAAGTATACATTATAATTAGGCTCCTTATAGTCCAACAAAATCATTTGTTCAATCAAGTAAAATCGTCACTTGATTATTTCAATTGCGCAGAAAGTTCTACCTCTCCACAAGCTAGTATGAAATAGTTATAAAGTATAAAAAGGATCATTACGTCTAAAAAGATAAACTTAGCTTACTTGGGGTACATATTCACCGCCACCTCCAAAATCTCCACATTTTTCAACATTGTATTTTTCATGCATATTTCCTGTTTTCTTGTAAGCCACATAGTTTGTTCTGATCCACTTCACAGCAATATCTTCTGCTATAGACCTCGCTTGTTCAGATCTCGACCTTACCAGGCCTTCAACGATCATGTGTTGAAGCGGTGCCCAACCATTCGGAAAGTCCCTGATTGAAATACATCAAGATCACATACTACAAAAACGAAACGAAAACAAGGCATAATTCAATAACATTATCATCCTCATATTTTGTAAGACGTATCCCCGTACCAGTATTCAAAATTCGGATTGTTTTTAATCGTATCCCCATATCTTTATTTTTAAAATGAGAAGGATCCGACTCCTAAATATGCACCCGTATCCGATACTAGCCCCCGAGTCCCAGCAAGTTAGGATAAAGGGTCGAGCAACTTATTACCATTGTTGTCCTGAATTTGTCAAAGAAGTTGCAATCCCTGCAGGGCAGAGCAGGCCAGAATTTTGGAGACTTCGGAGGACTTCGTCTACCACCTTGACGTCTTCATATATAAATAAAACGTAAGCATGTCATTGTAGTTCATCAGTAGGTGACATATTTTTCTTATATATGGAGTATCTAAATATCACTTCTAAAAGAAATAATTCATAAAGTTATGCTTTCAAAGGGAATCAAAATCTGAAATAATAGGCAACTGGCAAGAAGTTTAGTACAAAACAATTATCAAATGGTGTTATTTCCACTATAATGTGGTGAACACAAGGTTACTAGTCCA